GGTCCCTGTGCTTTGCTAAGCTTGTTCTAAGTAGGTGCTTTAGACCACTGAGCCATCTCACCAGCCCCTCTGAGTCCATTCTTGGCCACTGACTTGGCTGTCCTGAGGGAAGAGCTTGCCACAGTATCTTCGGGTCTAGAAGTGGCAGCTGATGAGCAGCACAGGAGGGTGAACTGCTTGTTCCCCTCTTCCCTCCTCCAAATCAAGGACATGTTAGTGAGGGCTAGGAGGCTGGGCCCAGACACACCCTGGGCAATGGCGCGGCATGGGCACGAGGATGTCTGTGTGAACCTGCGCTGTCATGGCACAAAGCAACCCAAAGAGTAGGCGTACTTGTCTTTGTCAGCCTTGTAGGTGTGGGCTATTTCTGGCACCAGAGGGTCATCAGGGTTGGGGTCGCAGAGCAGAGAGCAGATGGACAAGAGAACTGTGAAGAAAAGAAAGAGTTAGTTAGCTGTGGCCACGAGGCTGCAGGCCAGCCCTGGGTCTGGCGAACCTTTGTGCACTTGTGCTTTCTGCCAACCAATCTGATGATTCTGCTCAAGTCTTGAGTTTGCCTTGCTCACACCCTGCTGAGGGCAGCACTGCGGGCCTCGGGTGTGAACCTGGCACATTGCTCCAGTGTGGTCCCAGACCGAATCCTCCCTCGCAATGAAGCCCGTGCAGGTCCAGCCTCCTGAGTCTGAGCTCCAGTCTATGCCCAACACCACACAACTTTGGTCCCAGGTGCCTTGTTTGCTGATAGGACAGGAGTTCAGAACATCCAAGTAACGTTCCAAGGTCACAATCTCGAAGCACCCAGGATGGGGGCAAAACTGAGATTCTGAACTGAGTCTGTGACTGCAAGGCCAACGCTCCCTCCTGCTCTCACATGGGTTCCTGAGACATGCTCAGTGTGGCTCTCAGGGGCCCTGGATGAAAGGACTCACCCTCAGGGCATGGTAAGGAGCAGAAAGAGCTCCTAGAATTGTCGTTTCCACTTTGTCTGGGCCCACCATGACTCCAAACTGGCTTTGGCGAGTCCACTGAAGTCCTGAGAAGTTTTCCTACTGTTAAAGCTACAAATGGAAGGGGCAGCCTTTACTTAAAGAGACTTGATACTCTGCTGTCTTGGGCTGAGGTTGTCACTGAAAAGCCGGAGGTTCCCCTCAGCACCCCTACATGAAGCTGTCTTTCCTTCTCCCCACTCAAGGGCCCTCCCTGCCACTCCACTTTCCTCTCCTATTCTTGGCCCTGAAGCTAAGGCTCCACTGGCTCCTCTGCACACAGCCCTTAGAAGCTGGCAGAGGGTGACACTGTCCCTGCTACACTTCTGTCCTTAGGCAGTGCGATGGGGCTGTTGTACATGAGGTTCCAGTCACAGGAGTCGTCTCTGCAGGACACTGGGCTGTATCCGTATGTGTGGTGCAGTGTAGCCTGCTCTGCCCCAAGCAACTTCATGACAGCACAGAGGTGACTCTGTGCCCCTGGGTTCTCCACACGTGTTGCTACAGCTCTTTAGCTTTCCAAAGCCACCCCCAGGTGCTCTGGGGCCCCTCTTGGAGGGCTCTGCCACCTGCATTGCTTCACACTTTTTTTTTTTTGTGGAACTGGGGATTGAACTCAGGCCCTTGTGCTTGCCAGGCGAGCGCTTATTCCACTGAACCATCTCCCTGGCCCTACCTCACACTTTTCTGGGTTGAACTTTTTCACCACTCTACCACCTTCACCTGACAGGCTGAGCTGCTCTCCATATTCACAACTCAGCAGACACCACTCACACAAAGCCGTCTTAGTTCAGGAGGAGTATCTGCATGGCTTTCTTTTGGTTAATATTTGGATTTCTGCATCCTGCTTCAGGTTGGTGTCGTCACTTCACCCAGAGACACTGCTCCTACACCAGCTTCAGGGTAAGGAAGACAGGCCCTGTGCCTCTCCTTTCAGGCTCACTCAGTCTGTGCTTGCTCTTGCCAGATGAATGGGTAAAGAAAAGCACAGAGAAGGTGCCATAGGGGCTGGTGAGATGGTTCAGTGGTCTAAAGCACCTACCTAGAACAAGCTTAGCAAAGCACAGGGACCACAATTCAATCCCCCAGCACCACATGCCAGCCAGCCCCGCCCCCTGGTAGGCTGAGCTGGCCACACACACACACACACACACACACACACACACATATATATAAATAAAAATTTAAAAAAATAATAATCTTGCCATCTTGGCAGGAGAGATCTACTACTTTACAAAAAAAAAAGTCTTGAGGTTTATGACCACCATTTAGTTAGCTGTTAGGTGTTACATACCCACTCTCACGGAGGTCAGGAACCGCAGAGCAGTGGCTGTTACCTAAAAGCCACAGCAGTTTCTCTGTAGGTCACCCCCTGCCTGACGCGTCCACTATCTACTGCACATGCCCAGGCCTGTGACTGCACCCCACTGAGTCTGCCCAGGTTCTGGTCCGGATTCCCCTCTTGGATCTGTGTACCCTTCCCTCTCTGGGCTGCAGTGTGCCCAGGTACAGGGTGGAGGGAGTATGCTGTAGGACTTCCAAGGGCTCTGCCAGTGTAGTTCTGCTGTCACCTGATGGAGGTGGCGCTCTGTCCCTCAGGGACTGCCTGGCCTATAAAGAGTACCAGCATAGCATGGACTCCCCTCCCTTCTGAAATCACTGGCTTATGGTCCTCCACAAAGGTGGAGGGGGAGGAGTCAGAGACACAGTTCCTTACCCTAGTGGGGCTCCCTGTATACTCTATCTACCCTACTATCCAAACCCTGAGCTCTTCTGGTTGTATATTTTATGCCAAATAAAATTTTGCCCTTTGATAAAAAAATTTTTTTTGGCCTTATTTTACCCAGGGTCTTTGCACTAAGCCACACATCACCAGCTGTTTTTAATTATTTTTTTATTTTGAGTCAGTGTTTTAGTAAGTTGTTAAATTGCCCATCTGGAGCCAAATTCTGGATCCTACTCAGCCTTCCGGAATGCCAGGATCCAAGCGCATGCCACCACACCTGCTACCCTTCCAGTATGAAGATAAAGACTGGAAGTAGGGTGCATTCTTTTTGTACCCATGTGGCGGAACCTTGAGCACCCCACAACGACTGGCTGCTGAGGCTCTCAAGGGTGCGCCGCTGACACTACCTCCTCACAGTGTGGGTGCATGGGCGGGCTCAGGGCTGGGCGGGCTCAGGGCCTGTGAAGCTGTCTGCTCACCCAAGTTTGCACGTGCACTTAGTGAGGAGGTAAAACTGTGGAGACGGCATGTAGAGCAGGCACCAGGGTCCTTACCTTTGGACACGGTCAGCGCTGGAGACCACTGTGATCGCAGGATATCCAGGCAGATGCTGCCATTGCTGTTGATATTGGGGTGATAGATTTTGGTTGTGAAAGCAACCTGCAGAGATCAGAGAGCTGGGTGAGGGAGGCTACAGGAACAGCTGAAAACCAACCGGTAAAGGTGAAGTGGCCACTGCGGGGCTGTACCAGAGGCTCCACATTCCAACCTTCAAGTCCTGGGGAGCGCTGACATCCCCACAATCTGACAGGATACCAGCCAGGCAACCCCAGAGCCTGACCGATTCCTGTCAGAGCCTCATTCTGAACCCTGGATGGACTGATATCATCTCTCTCAGAGCATGCTGTGGAGAAAGGAAGGTGGAGGACAGAACTCAGAAGCCTAGGTTTGTGCAGAAAATAACGATTCTGATTATAGACACAATGAGGAAAGAGAGTCACCACAAGAAACAACCAACTGAAATTCATTGCTCATCCTTTATCTACTCATTTTTGCCTAGCTGGCTTAGACAAAATTTAAGATTTCAGCCACCATCGGTCTTGGATGGACTCAAAGGCACATGTGTTTGGGCCACAGGAACCACACCAGCAGCAGATGAGCCCAAGCCACGGTCCCTGCTCTCACCTTTGTGTGTGGTGTTGGATATGAACTCGGAGCCTCTTGTGTGACAGATACTAGCAATCTTACTTCAGCCTTTGTGAGACGCCCCTTCCCAGAATTTAACCCTCAACTGCCCTGTATGTTTCAAATCCACAAGGACAACATCTGTATCAAAAGCTGTGAAACAACTCACTGTCTCCCAAGAGAATGCTGGCAAAATTAGTGTTTCATATACACAACTGTTTAAAAAGAACACAGTGAATCATCATGTGCAATTAGGGAGCAATTTCCAAATGTACTACTGACAGGAAACCAAGATGCAGCTTTGTGGTAAAGTGTGTTTCTTTCAATGGAGAAACGAGGGCGCACGTGCAGGTATGCAGACAGGTGTAGATGACGCCTAAAATAGAAATAAGCAGCAGCCAGACTGGTGAACATAGAGGTCAATGCACTGTCCCACCATTTGCCTCCTTTTTTTTTGGTGGTACCAGGGATCAAATTCAGGACCTTGTGCTTGCCAGGCAAGCACTTACTCCACTGAGCTGTCTCCCTGGCCCCCATTTGCCTCTTTTTAACCACAGCCATAAATCACTTCTCCAGGTGATGTCTCTGGAGCTCAGTTCTTGCTTTAAACAGGGACGTGACAGACCAGATGCAGCAGTGCATACCTCATGTCCTAGCTATTTGAGAGGCTGAGGCAGGAGAATCACTGGACCCTAGGAGCTCAAGACCAGCCTGGGCAACAGTTGAGACTGAAGAAAACAAAAATGAGCCAGCTGCAAGGGAGCCTGCCTGGAATTCCAGCTCTTTGGGAGGCTGAGGCACGAGGATTGTAAGTTTGAGCTGAGCTTGGCAATCATTGAGATCTTATCTCAAAATAAAAAAACAAAAGAAGGGCGATAGTGTAGCTCAGTGAGAAGGCTGTACCCCAAAAATCAAAACAAAAATCCCAAAGGAAAAAAAGGGGGGTGTGTAACGGGACTCCTAGGGCTGGTGTGGACTGTAGAGTCTGGCACCTAACAACATGCAGCTTTCTCTGTCTGGGGTGAGAGCAGGCTCAGCGGCAGCCACACCCACTGGCCAGCCTGCCACCTTCCCAGTCCCAAATGACCAGGTGGAGGGCACAAGAGCCCTTTATGCTGTTATGTCATTTTTTACATGATTGACATAATTCATAATACGGTATGTTTTGCATGCTGGGCATTGAACCCAGGGATTTACCCATGCTAAGTTAGTTTTCTATGAGGCTCTATACCCTTGTCCCATGAGGTAGTTTTAAAAATAGAACTCATTTTAGAATATGAAGAGGATTGGGTGTTTTATCATATCATTTTCCCCAAGAAGACTTAAACTTCAAAAGGGTTTCAAACAGACTAGGCCTGGTAGCATACACCTATAATCCCAGCACTCTGGAAGCTGAGGCAAGAAGATCATTGTGAGTTCGAGGCCAGCCTGGGCCACAAAGTGAGCTCAAGACCAATGTGAACTTCATGGTAAGACCCTATGTGATAAAGAAAAAAAAGAAAAAGGTCTCTGTAGGTATCGCCTAGATGTCTTCTATAAAGATCATGTAGTCCTTCTGGTAGCACTAGTACACGCCCGTAATCCCAGCTACTTGGGAGGCTGAGGCAGGAGGATCATAAATTGGTTGTTTTTTGAGACAGGATCTCATATTGTAGTTCAGACTGGCCTTGAAGTCACTATGTAGCCCACACAGACCTCAAACTTCTGGGAATCATTCTGCCTCAGCTTCCTAACTCAGGATAATCACATGTTTGAGGCCAGCCTGAACTCCTTAGTAAGACTATGTCTCAAAACAACAAATAAGGGGCTGGGGAGATGGCTCAGTGGAATAAGCGCTTCCCTGGCAAGTGCAAGGGCCTGAGTTCAATCCCCGGTTCTGCAAAAAAACAAAACAAAACAAAAAAACCCCACAAAAGTGTGGAAAGGGAGTGGATATAGCTCAGCATGTGCTGCAAATAAACAAAGAACCCCAGACATATCATGCAGTCTTGTCAGATTATTCCTTGAATCAAAAGCTTAACTGACTCTTCTTCAGATTTTGAAAAAACCCACTCTGTTCTCTCTTTTTTAATAAGTTTTATTCATTTCAATGAGCATTCTTCTCTTATAAAAAGTATCACTCACCTTTTAGCTCCCATTTTTCCTGGTTAAAATAATCCCAACTCATGGAGCTTACTTCTCAGTCCTTAATAATAGTCATTATTTTCACTTTGTCCTGGGGCAATTAGGGAACCTACAGTGCCCAACAGACAGCCATACAAGCCAGCATCGGAACCTGCTTGGAGGGAAGTGCCTTAGCCACTCACAGGCCATGGGAGGTGATAAGCTGGGCAAATGTGGCCCTGAGGACCCGGGCGGGTCAGAGAAGCCTTTTCAACCCAGACTCTGCCAGTGGCACTCTGTATCGCAACCCAGAGAGTGACTTTAGCACTTGTCACTGCTCTGCCCAGCACTCCCTTGTCAGAAGCAGGAAAAAGTCTTCAGAATTATAAACATGTTTAATTTCTATTTAAAAGCACTCAAGGCCTGGCAGCTTCTGTGGGAACATCGGCACAGTGCTGTGACCAGTGATTTCGGAAGGGGCCTCTTCACACTGGCTCAGACAAAGTGTGTAACAGTGGCTCAGGTCACCCTCTGAGCCATCAAGGCCAGCACCCATGAGAGGGTACGGCAACATCACACCCTGACTGCAACGCTCTGAGGGACACAGGACTACGGGATGGGTCTGCTCAAAATGCGTCACCATGGTCTGAGAACACGACACAGCCCCATAAAGAGGGACAGTTGACAGCATCTTCGGTAACACTCCTCAGAAACATCGCTGTCACGAAAGACCACGGGAAAAGGAAACATGCCACAAGCTGCAGTTAGGGGAGGGCTGGACAACAACCGAGCACTGGGTCCCAGAGCACAGCGCGGACACTGGCGGGAACTGTTAACCTCTGATCAATGCTGCAGTACCACGATCAATTAGTCATACAATCATGACCAGCATTCCCTTGAGTAGTTTTGATCATGGCAGGTCTGAAATGTAAGACATCGACACCAGGGAAAAGTAGGTAAGAAATACACGGCAACTCTTTGTGTTATTTTTGCAGCCTTTTTTATGGGGGAAGGTCCTGGGGGTTGAACTCAGGGCCTCACACATACTAAGCAGGTGTATGGCAGAAAGCTATACCCCTAACCTTGCTGATTTTTTCTAAGTCTAAAATTAATTCAAAGTCAGTTTTTTTACTTTGTTTTTAAAGGCTGACACATCTGAGTCCGAGTCCCACTGCAGTCTTTTTTTTTTTTTTTTTTTTTTTTTTTTCAGAATCAGGGATTAAACTCAGGCCCTTGTGCTTGCCAGGCAAGCGCTTAATCTACCAAGCCATTTCCCCAGCCTCAACACAAAATTCTTATTTTCTTGTTTTTGTTGTTTCTTTTATTTTTTATTTTGAAACAGAGTCTTTCTAGACTGCCAGGAGGAACTTGAATTTATAATCTCTTTCCTCAGCCTCCTAAGTGCTGGGATTACGGGCATGTGACACTGTCCCTGGCCCTGAACTGATATTTTTATTTTAAAAATGAGAATAAAAGCTAGGTGTGGCATGCCTATAATCCCAGCAGTCAGGAAGCTGGGGCAAAAGGACTGCTGTGAGTTCAAGAGCAACTGGCTACAAAGTAAGTTGAAGGCCAGCCTGCACTGAGAACAGGACCATTTTAAAAAGACAAGAAAGGGCTTGAGATATAGCTCAGCGGCACAGACCCTCCCTGGCAAACATGAGGTGCTGAGTTCAATTCCAAGTACAAGGGAGAAGGAAAAGGAGAGGGGGAAAGAGAAAAACATATACTGGTCATACTGAAAAAATCTGGAGGTGTGCACACTGGCTGCTAGCCATGGATTATCTGGGTCTACAGCAGATTGGTTTCCATCTGCACGCTAGTTCTCTAATTTAAAAATAATGAACTGCAAGCCAGTTTTGTAATCGGGGAGGGGGGAAGCTGTTCCAGTGATAGGAACTGTGCGCCCGCCATCGGAAACCACACCTGCTAGGCAGCCGGCCCTGCTGGCCTGGTGTCAATGCCTCGGAGTCCCCTCTTCCTCCTGCCCCCGGGCAGGGCTCTGCTGAGGCCCTGGCCCAGCTGCTTCTCACACACTGGGCTGGGGATCCTACCAGTCCCCCAGGCGGAACCCACACAGGCCCTACCCTCCTCTGGCTCCCTGCCCCCCTACTGCTGGAACATGCAGGCTCTGTGCAGCACGCCCCCAGCGTGATCTCCTGGCCCCCGGGCTCTTGTCTGTGCCTGAGCCACCTCTCAGCCCAACCCCCTCGAATATTATGCATCCTGGTCCCCCCCCAGGACTGTGCACCTCAAGAGGGCAGGCTCTGCCCTGCTTGTGCAGCATGGCAGGCAGGGGCTCCCTGGAGTGCCATGCATAGGGACGAGATAAGCTGCAGAGAGAACTTTTCATCCCCACTCCTAGTGTATCAGGCAGGGTGTCCAAACAGCACCCTAGGCCTCTTCCTCCCACTAGTGGCCCTGTGCCCAGGATCCACCAAAGAAGCCACCCATGCAAAGGGCAGAGGAAGCCAGCTCCTCCCCGACCTTTGCTTTGCTGGGCTGAGAGCTGAACCCAGAGACTTGTGCATGTGAGCCAAGTGCCTAGGCTGAGCCCAAACTGACTGCTGTCACTTTAACTACATAAGGGAGGTAATCTGCCAGGGCCCTAAGCCATGGGACTTCACCTCCACACCTACTGTCCTGGGCACTGCAGGGTGCTGAGCAGCCCTCCCTCTTGAGGTCCCACAAACACCTCCACTCCCTTGTTGTGACAACCCAAGGTATTCCAGAACGTGGTCAGATGTTCCAGGGCAGAAACAAAACCACCGCAGCCCAGAACCCCATTCCAGACAGCAAGGGATTGAAAAGAAAAACAGAGCCTGCAAACCTGACTGTCTCACTCCAGCTACAAGGAGCACTGCAGGGATCCAGATGAGTACCTGCAGCCACCCTGGGTTGGAACTACTGACCCCTGTGTAACCCAGACCCGGGGGGGGGGGGGTCTGCTTTCCATTTCCAAGTATAGTGAAACAAATATTAAACAAAACAACAACTACTGTGTCAGTCAGCAACAAAATACCTGACACAAATAACTCAGAAGGGAAAAAGATTGACTGTTTGATTTGTAGTACTGGAGATTGAAACTAGGCTCTTTTCACTGAGCTATAACCTCATTCCCCCCTCCCCTTTTTTTGAAACAGGGTCTCGTTAGGTGGTTAACCTGGTTCTGAACTCACTTGTAGCCCAGGCTAGCCTTAAAGTCCTTAATCCTCCTGCCTCAGCCTTCTGATCGCTGGGATTACAACCTCAGCCCTTTTATTTGAAGACAGCATCTTGGCTAAATCACAGAGTTGCCAGGCTGGGCTTAAACTTGTGATCCTGCTGCCTTGGCCTCCAAAGTATGCTGGGCTCACAGGCATGGCCCACCACACCCTGCACGAAAAGATTTATTTGTCTCTTAGTCTGAAAGGTTTCAGCTACCGTCAGCCAGCTGCTGCACTGCTTTTTAGGCTTGTGGGGCGTCAGAAACTCGATGGCTGGGGGGGGGGGGCAGAGGAAAGCAGCTGCTTCCTTGCAGCCACAAGGCAGACAGCAAGTGAGAGAACCAAAGAAGAGGGGCCAGGGACAAGATATACCCCTCCAAGTCTCGCCCATGACCCACCTCCCCCAATGAGGCCCACCTCCTAAAACTTCCACCACCTCCCAATCGTGCTACTAGTTGAGAGGCAGGCTTTCCACACACCCATAACAACCACCATAGTGGTGTGGGGGCTTTACAACTCCACCGGGCCTGGACCCCCTCAACACCAATCATGTGCCTGGGATCTTGGTTATTAGTGTGAGATGAGCCAGGCATGCTTGGGCTTGGATAAACGCCATCTCCTGACCACTTCTGAGCTCCTCCCTTTGACTCAGCTTCTGGGAATCCACTGGTCTTCTTGCTACCCTTGACCATGCTTCTGTCTGGGCCTCAAGGAAGATAACACTCTGTAATCCTGGAGGCGTCCGCCTCTTTCTTCAGCTTCTTTGAGTCTTTTGCTTATGGTTTTCGGTTTTTAAAACAGATTTTCTTAGACCAAAAGTATCCTTCACATGGTAGTCCTTGCTCACAACAGGGATCAATTCTAAAAATCCAGAGTTTAAGGACTGGGAGGCTGGCCAAGGTAGCACCACCTATAATACCAGCTACTCAGCAGGCTGAGGCAGGATTTCAAGTTTGAGTTCAACTTGGAAGACCCTGTCTCAAAATAAAGTTGACAGGGCCAGGAATGTAGTCCATGGGCAGAGTGGCTGTCTGGTATGCGTGAGCCTAGTTCAATCTCCAATATGGTCCAAAAACAACGCCCCCCCAAAAAAAAAACTCAAAGAGAACAGTAACCAAAACCAAAAGCAAAACGTCCCAGGAGGCCATTATAACAGAGTCTGGAAGACAGACCCTTGCGGAAAGGCCCCCACATAGCTCTTTACCTGTGACCAGACAAGGTCCCTTTGTCTGAGTATCAGGGGAACCAGGACAGCCTCACCTTTGGGGGCTTGAATGGGTAATCCGTAGGAAAGTGGATGGTCAGGAAGAAAACGCCTCCTTGGTAAGGGCTGTCATTCTGGAAGGTGAGACACGGGAATAGATTAGGGCTCACACTGCGCATGAGGTACAAGAAGTCAGATGAGCTGTGCGCTCAGCAGCACTACCTACCGGGCCCATGATGGTGGCCTGCCAGTGGAACACTGCAAGACAAAAGAGACATGGGTGCGTGAGAGACCCCCACGAAACGTGCCTAGCTGCCACACAGTCTAGAGCACAGCGTCCACAGACTGCCTCACTTCTGGTATCAGCTACGTCTGGGGGTTCTAAGTCTCGATTTTTCCAGGACTTCGAAGCTCCCTGGAGGCTGTGCTCACCATTACAGTTTGTGACAGGGTAAAGAAACACCTGTGGAGGGTTCCGTCTCCCACCCGGCTATGTGGCACTAGGCTGAAGAAAGACAAAGCGAGAGCTGTAGTTTTAAGGGCTTCTTATTGGAGCAAAGGGCCAAGAGTCAGAACGGCCACGGCTTCTACTGGCTGCATCACCACGAGAGACAGAGTGAAGATGTAACTGATGCAGACCACGGGGGCCCCAGCCGGCCATGGCAGTGCACGCCTGTAACCCCAGTAACCTCGGTTCAGAGGCTGAGTCTGAACTACGTAGTTAGACCCTGTAGCCAACAAATAAACAAACAAACAAATAAATACAATTTTTTAAAAATTATAATTGGGTGCTTAGGAGTAATGGTTTCTGCAGGCACAGCTTGTAAAGGAGGGATAAAGCACCTGCACCAGGCATAGAGGCTCCCTACTTAGATAATGGCTGATGGAATAACGTGATGTTTGAAAAGCCAGCACCTTTCCTGCTGGGAAGGTACATTTCATTTTGAGTCTCATGGCCTCAGCAGAGATGTTATCTTATGTCTTAGCCTGGAATTTCACAGGCTCTTGCTCAAGCCTCCATTCCAGCCCTGGGGGCGGGGTAATTCTCACTCACATGCTGTGACTCTCCTGCAATGAGTCATACTGGTGGCTTGGCCAAACTTGGTCACATTCTTTCCAGCCAGTTAAGGAAACATTTACCTCTACACAGCCAGCTCTGCACACGCAGGTGAGCAGAACAAAGATGAGCACTAAACAGAGTGAGGCAAGGGAGGGGCTGCATTCCTCAGGGGAATGTGGGCTAGTGGTCCCCCGCAACAGGGAGACTGCACATGCTGCCCTCAAGAGGGGCTGGAGGCAGAGCCTGCATTAGTCGCTCTGTGAGGTCAGGACCTGCTTCCTCTCTTGGCATCCAGGTGAGACAACACAGAGTTGCTGCCCAGCAGGGATGTTCATCTGCGCTTCATCGCTTGTTGGCTTTATTAGGGCTCCATCAGAAGTGTTGAGCGAGATGTGTTGGTGAACACCCGTAATCCCAGCATTTGAGAGGCTGAGACAGGAGGATTACAGGAGCTAGGCTCAAGGCCAGCCTGAACTACACAGCAAGACCCTATCTTAAAAACAAAACAAGGGGCCGGGGGGTGGCTCAGTAGAATAAGCGCTTCCCTGACAAGTGCAAGGGTGTGAGTTCCATCCCTACTTCCACCAAAAAAAAAAAAAAAAAAAAAAACAACAACAGGAGTGTTTTTGATAACATTTTGGAATAGGAGCCCATGGCAAGTGAGCAGGTAACAAAAGTGGGCTCTTCTTGGGGAGCAGGTTGGGACCCTCTGACTTCATTCATTTTAATGCTGCGCTACTGGGTTCTGAGCAGGGCTGGAGGGCAGTCAGGAGAGAAGAGGGTGACCAACTCCACGGCCGGGGGGTGGGGGCGGTGGCAATCCAGGAGCAGGTGCCTGGAGGCTGTGGAGTTAGTCACCCTGTGCATATTCTGTACACGCAACTGAGTCATTTCTGTTCTGCTCCAAAAATTATTCCAACTTGCACAAACAGCCTTGAGAACCTCCACTTTCAGTAGCTCCATCTGCCCACCTTGCCTCCTCCCAGGACACACTGCACACATGGGCTAGCAGCCCTCTTTTCCTTCACTAGCCCTTTGGTACGCATTTACACTTTGAAGTGTGCCACACAGCCCCATTATGGGCAAGTACAATGTTGTAGCACCAACACCACTATTTGTGTCTTGTTTTTTATTGTGTGTGTGTTTGCATGGTGGGGATGGAACTTGGGCCATTTCCAGAACTTTGCCATCCTACCCTTTCTGTGCCTATGAGACAATCACTTCTCACACCTACTTTCCAAGCTTCTCCTCTTCATCTACTTTCTGTCTCTATGAATTCTCCTCATCTAGATATTTGTTGAACAGAACTATGTAATACTTATAATCTCACTTATTTCACTAAATTTAGCACACTTTCAAGGTTCATCTGGGCTACAGTGCATGTGAGGACCACACTTCTATCCATGTGTCTGTTGCTGGGTCCTTGGGTTGTTAGCACCCTCTGACAGTTGGATAATGGTGCTGTAAACACTGGCATCCAAATTCTGTTCAAATTTGTTTTCAACTCTTCGGCATGTGTAGGGCGCCCCCTCGCCACATGGTTTTCCAACAGCTGCAGCCTTACAATGCAGAAGCTGTGTCCTGGAGCCTAGGCAGCCCACAAATGAGGGGAGTCAGCTACGCAGGATAAGGCTTGGAAACTCAGGGCTGTGCAGCTTAGCCTCCAGCCTGCTGGCTACGAACAGGGCAGAGGGCTGGCCGGGCCACCTCTCCCTCTAGGCCTCCCCTGTACAGCTGCCTGGGGTTGTTTCCTCACATCCCCCTGGGGAAGCACAGATGTGGGAAGAAAGAGCAAGTACTGCCCTTCCCTGGGTGGAACCATCAGCTGCTGCCCTCTGCTCAGCTCCCAGGTGCAGTCCTCCACAGCCAGCTGCACGATGGCACTTACTGCAGTGTCCCAATTCCGACTGAGGCGGAAGCGCTTTGCTCATGCTCACACAAGCGGGGCCCACCTGGTTTTCTCTGACTCAGTGCAGGAGAGGTGGTTTCTGGTGGCACAGGTTCTGCTCTGGGTGTAGAACTAGAGGGGAACCCCCAGCTCAAGGGGAAAAGCTGTGCATGAGCAAGTGGACAAAAAACACTGGATGGTTTTCTTAGAAACTGCTTGATAGATAAATCTGGGGGCTTTATTGCAAGGCTCCTACAGTCAGAAGAGGACCCTGGAATACTTACAGTCATCACCCACAGGTCCTGCGGAGCACTGGGCGGGAGGATCCCGCTGCAAGTCCGTCAATTCCTAGAACACAACATAGTGGGTCAGGCAGGGGTGCAGCTGGGGTGCCAGTCTCTCCCTCAGCTACTTGCCACAGTGAGGTTTACTTCTGTCTTTTTAGACAAGGTCTTGCCATGCAGTTCAGGTTGGCCTTGAGCTCACTTTGAACTCGCAATGAGCCTCCAGCCTCAACCTCCAGAGTGTGGGGATTACAGGTGTAAGCCACCATGGTCAGCCCCAAAGTGAGTTCTTGTGGGAGGTAGTAGAAACATGGCCAGCAGCCAGTCTACTGACTGTGAAGACACGAGGGAAGTAGATATCATCCTTTCTGTTTTATAAAGTAGGATACTGAATGTAAAGAGGTGAGGTCACCTATTCACTGATACAGAGCAAGATTACAGGAAGATGTGCCTCACCCTAAGCCTGGTTGCCAACCAGGTCAGGGAGAAGATACCATCTGTCATGAACTTAGGAGAAAAGAGCCCCAAGAAAGCCTCCAGGAGTAGAGGCCAGCACAGGCTCTGAACTAAGGAATGAATGCCTGGAAACCCTTGCCCAGAGGGCGTGCTCAGTTAAAGGCTGGGCTCTGGTGCTTCTTTCTCTGTTCTCTATTGCCCCTTTACCTGCTGCAGGATGGTGGCATGTCCTAGGGCTCTGGCTGTGGAGACTTTGGGCATGAAATCCCAAGTCTAACACTGCTATCAATGCACTGGTGGGGATCAGGTATTACACCCCAACTAAATTCCCTTTATGGGACACTAATTATGCCCAAACTTCCTAAAGGAATCCTGGCCTGGCATAAGGCCCAAGGCCCAAGATTTGGGGAAGTGATTCTCAAATATTACTTTGCAGGTATGAGATGCCTCTTAGTACTGCTTATTCCCCCCGGTTCCAGAGCCCAGTAGACATTCGGGGTTTCCACGGAAATTTTAAAACCAAGGAAGGTGGGCTGGTGAGATGGCTCAGTGGTCTAAAGCACCTACTTAGAACAAGCTTAGCAAAGCACAGGGACCGCGGTTCAATCCCCCAGCACCACATGCCAGCCAGCCGCGCCCCCTGGTGGGCTGAGCTGGCCACACACACACACACACACACACACACACAAATAAATAAAATTTAAAAAAAACAAGGAAGGAAGGAAAAAAAAACAAGGAAGGAGGCACAAAAGGTGCATCCTGGACCCTCCAAAAATGGCACAGCCAGGGTCCAGTAGGTGCGCAAAGCGCCGTGCTAGCTGATGGCACCCCTCCTTACCTGAACCCAGCCTAACACTCCCATCCACTAAGACCGTCTGGTACCCACCACACATGGGCACGTGGGCAGCATGCTAATCCCTCACACAACCGCTAGTCTCTGGCCACATCTTACTTCCCTCTAAATTTGTTACATTTTGAGACAAGGTCTTGCTATGTAGGCCAGGCTGGCCTTGAACTCCCAGGGATCCTGCCTCAGCCTTCCAGTGCTGGAATTACAGATGTGCACCACCATGCCCAGCTCACTTCCCTCTAATCAGCAGGGGGAGTATTGCTACCATAGAGGCTGGCAAGCACTACAAATCAGGCCATTTTATCCAAGAGTTGATGTGATCTCTTTCCCTTATACTGGGAACTGAACCCAGGGCCTTGTGCATGTTAGGCAAGTCTTCTAGTACTGAGCTACATTCCCGGGCTTTTTAATTTTTTTTTCCCTGTTAACAGAGTCTTCATATGTTGACCAGGGTAGTCTCAGTAGGAGGAACTGTGAGCCTTCTCCTTCAGACCCTCGAGCAGCTGGGATTATAAGGATGCACCACTATACTCAACTGCCTCAGAGTTGATTTCTAAACATCTACCTACACTGGTCAGTTCTCAGCTAGTGCGAGATATATATGACCATTTCCTCACGTAAAGTGGACTGTACTTGGTAAGCACTCAGTAGGCAGCATGATTAGTTGTCACAAAAGAGAACTCAGGGAACAATGGAAGCTGTGCAAGGGGACCACAGGACACACTTTGGAATGCAAGAGCTCCAGAACCTTCCTGTTTACGCTCTGTGCCATGCCCCTCACACCTCCACCGCCATTCTGCGGGGAAGTATTTACATCCATGTGACACTGCATGACGAGGGATCTCTGTAATGGGTCTGTCAAGGCAAATCCCACAGGCTACATGAACCCCAAGGGGCAGGGAAGGCCAGCATGCAGGCCAGTTCCTCTCCTGCTTGCCAGGTTTTGCCACACTTCCATGCTTTAGCACGCGATGTACCTAGAGTCCATGACCTTCTTCTAGGGGCCTGAGGAATAGTTCCTAGGACTTACTGATTTCTTAGAGGCCAAAAGTGGGTCCCCACTGACGAGCTCCAACCAGCACCCAGGAGTTCAGCATATGCCTTAGCTGCTTTGCTGTTGCTGGGGTGCAATACCTGACACCAGAGGCTTATTTTGGCTCATAGTTTAGAAGTTTCAATCTTTGCATGATCAACTGGCTCTAAGCAGAAGTAGAACAGCGGCAGGGTCTGGCAAAAGAAAGCTGCTCACTGTACAACAGGAAAGAAGCAGAAAACAGAGAGGAGCGCAGCCCTTGCCCCTACAGCCCATTGCTTGGGCCGAGCCCCCTCCTAACAGCTCATTTGGCTATAACTCATCAGCAGGCTAATCCACTGATGGGTATAGCACCCCCATGATCCAATCAGCTCCCCAAAGCATCACCTATGAGTGCATGAGGCTTTGGCAGGACATCTAGATAGAAACCATAACAGAACGCTAGCTGGCATTTTAAGGAAGCATGGTGTTATCTTGGAAGAAACTGGTCAACTCACATACCATATTGTTGTGCCTATCTAATAGTCCTGGAAGACTCAGGTCAGAGTCCCAGCTCCAGAGCCGAGAAAACCACTTCCACTCCTTCATGTCTCAGCATAACTAGCTATAAAGCTGTAATTATAACTACATACCAATTTGCCAGCACTACTATGGGGCATTCAAATGTATATAATGCACAAAAGAGCACCCAGTAAAGATCAAGGACAACAGCTTGCAGAAGACACTACCAGGAGCATTATAAAAAGAGGACAAAAGAGGACAAGGGCTGGGGAGATAGTTCAGTGGCACAAGCACTTGCCTGCCGAGCACAAGATCCTGGGTTCAATTCTTAGTACCAATAATAAAAAAAAATT